TGAGCATTTTATTTTCCCACTTATATACTGCTTGGTGGGTATTTGTGAGAAGGGATTAACCATCAGGAGGTCGATTATGTAATTTTTCCTTTCAATGGATGTAATAATTATATAATGTTAAGATTGTGAAAAAATGCAACTTTGGTTGGAATATATCCATGTGAGCCAACTCAGAAATTTTCAAGAAGAAGAGCATCACTAACAGCGGAGATGTCTTCCCAAGGTTTGAAGGATAAGAGTTGGATTGGCTCTTACCATAGCAAAGAGAAAAGGCACATAGCCGCCTGGCTGGGGGAAAATTGTCTCTTCGTTTGGATATCCAAGCCACGACGGACCGAAGGAGTTAAGGAAGGAGATTTCCAAGCAAGAGGAAATCCAATGGGGTACCTGGAGGAGAGTTCCAAAGGAGTCCAAGGAGAGAGTTCCGAGGGTCCAAGAGAAGAAAGACACCGCAGAAACTGAAGACCAGATATCCCACTCAAAGTCATTTGCGTCGTTCATAGGCTTAGAATCCGGGTGTTGGCAGTGGCTAGCCCGCCATCTTTACTTTCGGCATATCGGTGTTGTTTCCTAAATAAGTACTGGCGAATAACTCTGACTAGGTTACTATTAGTTGATTATTTTTGAATTTGATAAAATTGTTATTTATCTGTAACTAAGATTAGTACTTGATGTGCCGTCACGTTAGAAATTGTGTGTGTGTCGATTTTAATGCCTCTTTTCTCTAGGTTTCTTGTCTGCATTGCCGATTTTATTGGCGGATTTTTCCCCTCCGCCCCCAACGCGCGTATATGGAATTATGCAAGAGTATTATGTCGAAGGTTAAATCTCTTCGAAGTATTTAGATAAAATAAGAATAGTTTTACACAATATATCCCTAAAAATTTAAATATTTAAGTAATATTTTAAGATAATTTAGCAAATTAAACCAACACTCTAGGGGAACTGGCCGGCAGAATCAGTCTCGGGTCACCATGCATAGTTACAATTGCATTGTGCATTCTTCTTTCCTTGTTATAAGACATCTCCCTGCCTGCGGGTAGAGTCCGGATAATCTGACCTATGAGGATGAAGTGTCGGACCTAGGGAGACCCAGTCTTTTCTAAAAATTTATTTTCTATAAGCCTGTTTTTAAAATTCTATAGCATTCATGAGCTGACATTTCAACTAACATGCATTGCATTAGAAACCAATTTAATTAAAATTTAATTGCATTAGCTAGAAGCATCTGACCCACATAAGTTCAGGACCACTTAGGAAATTCTCTAGATGTCATTCTTATTTCCAAAGAACTGTACCTCCCACCCATCTTTCATAATTGACTTGATAGCATGGTTTTAAAGCGACTAGGTGGTTAGCTGGCTCCCCCAATCCAGGCTGGGGTAAGTCCAGATTTTGCACTGCATTAGCTAGGACACGGGTCTTAGTGTTTCGTAGAGCACTAAGCCCAACCTAGATTTAGGATTCGAGGCTACTACATTCGGTTTCGTAGTATGCCTTAAATAGTATGTAGGTCTCTTCTTTTCAGGGACTATAAATCATACTTATCCGCGTCACAGGATGACGTCATCTCCATCCTTCTCTCGCGTATGTGATTGATAGCCTGATTTTTCTTTCTCCAGTCCTTCGGACCTTTCTTCCCTTTAAGTAGGATTTCCTAGTCTATACCCTCGTGCCGATCCTACTTTAGGAGGGGATAACATATAATCCTTAATCGAGAGTTTTCTCAGGCTCCGGTCTGGGATGTAATTAACCACGGGGGCTTGCGCCCGTGGGAAACTCGGTCCCACATCTACTAAACCCCATTCGAGCTCTTGCGGGTGGGGGAAACCCGTGACTAGGTCGTGTATATTACTACCCATCGGGGTGTGTTGGTGAAAGCCTCTATCCTCAATGGTTAGTCGTATGCACGATCCAATCTGTCCCTTCCAATCGACCCGTTCGCGCAGTGCTCTTTCGGAGGTCCACACCTCCCGACATCAAGGGAGGTTGGGATGCACTTATCTTTGGTTCTTCCCAGTCGAATCTAAGATACGATGGCGTGAGGACTCAATTTAAGCTCTTCTCGGCCGGATCTAAGATACAATAGTGTGAGGTCTTCGATTCAAGTATTCTTAGCCAGATCTATAATACAACGTCGCTGGTCTTCGACACCTATTTTTTAAGAAAACCGTGAAGAAAGAAATTTATACCTTTAATGTACGATGATCAACAACGACGACAAGAATTTGGTTATTTAAAGACCCCTTTTTTAATTTTGAAAAATAAATGAATAAATAAAATATATGACTAGGTGGAATGGGGCTGGGGCTTTTGTGCTCGGTCAGATTGAATAGAAAGAAGAAGGGAGAGGAGGCTTCAACTTGGGCTTCATGAGTCAGGGCTAAGGGAGACGGATCGCGTGGATTGGATACGGGAGGAGATCGGGACAAATCACGAGTATCTCGGGTCGGACAGGTCGCGAGATGCGGTCAGGCGAGCCACACGCAAAGCGAAAGCAGGATCAAAGTCACAATTGGGCGCGGGGTGCGAGTTGGAGTCGCTAGAGAAGATGCGGGTCAGGCGTGAGGTCGGAAGTGTGCTTGGGTCTGAGGTCGTGAGCAAGAGCAAGCCTCGCAGGAGTGTTCACGCGGTTGTGGAAAGGCGGGTCACACGTGGAGTTCGTGCAACGGAGTTAGCCAGCCGGCTTCCTTGCATGCGGTAGAGGGAAACGAGGCGCAGGCACGGGGAGAAAGAATGAGGATTAGCGGCCGTATGTGAGAGTATCAAATGAATTAAGACAGACAAACGATTTGTCTGAGGGGTTTTGTATCATGGGAGTGGGAGTTACTTAAGGAGTGTTGCATCATTTGAGCGACTTGGTGTATCGCTTGAGGGTGATTATGCGTGAGGTGGCTTGAGTGGGGCCAGCTGCCGACTTGTGGTCAACAAATTCCCTCTACATAATCAACCCTATTCTTTTTAATAATTTGCATGCTACGTCATACCTCACTAAAAATGGCTTAGCAAGCAAGCAATTTGTGGACTAGACATAAAATTTTAAAATCAATTTCCAAGAACATGATTAGTAAAAGAACAAAAAATAGACATTGTGCAACAATTTATTTTCTTTATATTCTACTTGTAATCATTCACATTGCCCCATGTGGTTCAAAAAGGGTATGATATTCCCGTTGATATTAATACAAATTCTTTGAATGGTTTTGATTTGAAACAAATGGATACGTAGTCAACCATTACATCATTGGTGACAACAATTGGCCTACTGGAACCTCCTAGCCAAAAAGTAAGACCAATACTAAACATTCAGGTCACTAAGTATGATCCAGGTTGAAATCTTTTGATTGATCTTTGCCATTGAGAAAACTCTCTATTTTAGTGGATACCATAATTTCTGACACTAATATTTTTGGATAATTCTTATATTCTAACTAAAACAACTCTACTTCACCTTGGTTTGCCTCCACCAAACAACATAAATTTTAGGCTTCTCCCTTTCAAAATAGGGCATCTATTAACAAGCATTAGCACTTCTTAAGTTAAAACATATATTAAACAATCATGTAACAATGTTTTGATCATTTCTTATGCAAAGGTTGGTTTAAACCTTATTTGTCATAGTTCAAAAAACACTAAGGCGCTAAGCCACTTACTGCTTAATATAAATCTGTAAGTCTTTATTCATTGAAAATACAAATCATGTGTATTGATATTGTATTAGCAGTTAAAAGTCATCATTTTTATTTTCCTAGTTTATTTTCTTGCAAAGCATGCCTATGATGATGATCCAATTGAGAATGAGATATATTCTTGAAGGTTTTAATTAATTTAATAGATTTGGTTATTGTTATTAGAGTTTAGATTCAGCTCTCACCAGATTCTCTAATTCAGCACTTATAATTCCATAATCGTACTGGGCCATTGTTTTAATAAATTTCTATTGATGCAATATTTTTTCTGCTGATTATTATTGTTGTGCAGCTTTTCACTTTCCAATTTACTTTTGTTTTTGGTGAACTGCTAAGTCGGTTGGTTGAGGTTTTCGTTATGCAAAACATGCATAAGTTGTGGTTTGCCTTTGCAGTTGATTTGCAATTGATGGCCTTTTATTGAGGTATTTTAATAAAGTTAATAAACAACTGTTTGTTCCTTCTCTGTGGGTTTCCCATTGTAGGCTTGTAGCTCTAATCTCTTTTGTGTTACCTTGCAATTTGATTACAATAATTGGTAATCAACTATTTTAGTCAGCTACTTCATTTTCATATTCACTTGTTTGTGTTACTATAATAGGTGTTCAACTATTGTTCTATTTGGAAAAATATTGTTTTGCTAAAATTCATGTTATAAGGATATTGTTCTAGCTACAATACTAGATTCTTAAATTGAAACTTACAATTTTAGGCCAGGCCTAAGAGGATTATGAGAAGTTATTGATTTTGGGCCTTTTTTTAGTTATAAAAAGGACCCCTAAGCACATAGAATTCATTAAAAAGTTGAACAAAATTAATTTTTTCCCTTAATTATTGTGTACATTGTTGAATGTGGATTCTTCAACTATTTTTTTAAATTTGTCATTTTTTCTTTGTCATTTCTTGTAAATTAATTTGTGATTAATTTATATCCATGATTGAGATCTTGTCAACCTCATAGACATTGATTTAATTTTATGGTGTGAATCTTATATGATGTAGAATTTTCTATTTATTCTCAGAACTTTTGTAGAATTTCAGATTTCGGTGACTTCTATATTATATTTTTTAACAAATTAAGAGTTTTTCTAATTTCACATCAAAAGATACTAATTTTTTCCAAAATTACAATTTACAATTTTTTGTGTGTTTCTTCAAGCATCACGTCCTAAATTTGCATTAATGACCTACACCCTAACTACATTTTCATCTCCACGCAAAAAAAAAAAAGACTATTAAATTCCTAAAAAATAATAACTTAAACAAAAAAAAAAAACAGAAAGTAACAAAATAGACGCAACAAATCATCACCTTCAAAGCAATACCTCCACTTGATGCTCCTGATGCTACATGCCCAAGAGCATCAACGCAAACAACTCCCACTGTATCAGCAATATAATCTTCATCAGCCTTATACTTTGAATGTGGTTCTGCATCCGTATCTCCAGCTTCTCTTCCAAGATCAAAAGATTGATCATCAATCACTAACACGAAGATGAGCAATATCATGGTCAATCAATGATATTGTAAGATGCATCCAGTTTCTTCTCCTTTTGAGCTTGAAACCCCATATGAATCATGGTTATAAACCATATCAGGCAACTATAGACATAATGCACTAATTTAGCCAAAAATATAACGATCTCCTCCTTTTTTTAGATATTTTTAAAATTCTTCTCTCGAAAAGCAGATAAATATTATGTTTGTTAATCATAATCTATTATCGTGGCCTTATCTCTCTAGCCAAATGTTTCTTTCTAATTGATTAGTGCACAAATTATTAACAAGAAACTTTGTCGGTTGCAATTATATGTATTTATTTACAATCAATCTCACAAAGTGCCCATAAATGCATGATGCAAAGCAATATCTTGACAAAGACTACAATTAAACCAGTTACATCAAACATGGATGAGAGAACCATATACCACCTGATCCTGGAGGCAGAAATCCATTCATCTTAGAATCATTTGTAGATTGTAGGAAATTTGGCTCATCCTGCTTCTTAGCATCAGCAAGCATAGATTTGTACCTTAACCATTGTCCTCTGGACCTCTCTGTTATCAGCCACTGTTATCAATCAAAGGTAGGCAAGGGTCAATAAAGCAAACCCAAAATAAATGTGAATCGCAGACATTAAATTTCAAATAACAGAGCATCCCGAGTAGAATCAAAGTTAATCATATTCACAAAAAGAAAAAGTGTGAGATAGATGAACCCATTAATTCCAAATGGAATATAGAAATAAGATACCCGTTCAGCTTCTGAAATAGTTCCTGGCAACGGAACTCCCTTGGACTTCCCCCATTTGCGGGCACCTTCACCTACTAAGAACCTGAACAGACCGTAGAAAAAAATTTTTTTTAGTGATCGATTGGGCAAAACTCCAACAAATGTAATTAATAATAAAGTTTCGATCTGATACTGAATCTCCAAATAGGTGGCAAAAGATAACATGGACAAGATGGATGCATTCCCTCATAAGTTTCCTACTTGAAAAACTGGATATTTTCTAATTTATCAGAAAAATAGCATTACTAGTTCCATAACATGTAATAAATTGCATTTTATTGCTGATAATTACTATTTTCTGAAAAAACTTTTTTAAGTTATAGTGGCGATTCAACATTATAATACATTTCGAAGACAATAGGTATAAAATGGAAATCCATACATTAAAAAAATGGCTCGTGGACGGTGGACAGCAATATAACGCTTTTCTCTAAATTAATAACAATACAAAGGACCAAGTTCTTTTACTTTTGGGCCCTTTAACAAATAAAGGCATGCCTTTTGTAGGTACACATATTTGATCTTCATCATCAATCTTTCATAAAATGGCAGCTCACTTGTACCATTAACAAAATAAATCTCCGCACTCCAAGGTTATAATTTAGAGAAATCCAATTATGTTGCTGTGTAATTTAAAATGCTTTGTAGACCTATATGGTTAAATAATAACAGTGGGTAATCCTATCAATGATTCTTCTTAACAAAGCTCTCATGCTAGGGTTGATACAATCGATATAACTTCCCTCTAGTTTGCAGACCCATCAAGAGAGAAGATTTCATATTTACTTACTAAACCATTTTAGCAAATTATAAATTGGCATATACTACAAAAGATGTCATTTACCTTTTAGTTTGAAACCATTAGACTTCCCAAACGGATTAAAGGACAACTATGTTGAAGTTGAAATTTAACAATTGAGTGCAGAAATCATTCTCCAGCGTAAGTAAATAACGTCGCATTCCTTCTGTTAAATGATTCACCTAGACCATTAACAGAAACTCTCTTAATATAATTTTCTTTGCTTTCATCCCCATATAGCCTCTGCAAGGTTGAATACTTCTATTATTTGTCATCCTTGGGTCATTTCATTTAAAGATTTCAGCTAACCGATGCTTTCATCCTAATGCATACCATTAAGGAAAAGGCATATGGTTTTGTTTGACATTTGCAGATGAAAAATGTTTGGCTATATATTTAACTGAAATTAGCATATCTAAATTAATTTCATTTCTTCACTATTTGCTTTTAGGCCCACACCTCCTTGAATGAGACCTATACTGCTTATAGTTCAGAAACACCATCCATTTCTTGCCATTTTTTTTCATATATCCTTTATAATGTACTATGCATTTTAAGTCCAGGCAGGAAAATACCATTGTAGCAAGAAAATTCTTCTGTCATTAGACTCGTGTACAAAAGGACATCATTTTTCAAGCAAATGGCTTACATAAAAATCCATGCAAGTTCTATGCAAATTTTCATTTAAGAGGATTAAAGACTAAAGCTACAAGTTTTCATCCAACCCAGATAAACATGGCACTAAGTGACAAGTGGGGCTCCCATCAATATCTCCATTGATTTTAATACTTATACTAGCAACTTCACAGAAACCATTACTAAGGCATTCAGGGTGGAAAATTCCATTAATGTTCATACTAAAACATATGCAAGCGTGCTACACATTACACATTATTCGTTGAACAGGACTTTAACCTACTCCCAAAATACTACTTTATAATACTTTTTAATTTTCCATGATTTTCTATCACCATTGTCCAAATCCTTGTTATTTATAATTTTCATCTGACTTTACTCCAATTATTTAGGGTTTACTTTGCAAATTCTCTTATCTTCTCTATTCACTACCATCGACTATTAAATGTGGTAAGAGCTTTAGCTATTAACATCCTTGTCATAACTTGTAAGTTAAATTTTGCCAACTTTATCTTCTTATGCCCATCACACGATTTTATCTACTCCTCATATTGTTAAATCTTCTGCTAACCTCCAACATGCCCAAATCACAAAAGTATATGCTTTCTACAACCTTGTTCATCATATGCGTTACTACTATTGCTCTCTAACAAAAACATTATGAACACTCACGTTAACTTTACCAATCTATCCAAACAGTCCCACTTATGTCATATTTAGCTTCATTGTTATTGATCTTTTTGTTGATTAACACTTGGATCCGTACAACATCATATCTTATCACCATTTTATAAAACTTACAATGTATAGGTGATATTCTTTTATCACATCTTCACTATTTTAACAAACTAGCTTTAATTCTACATATTGCATCCTACTTCTTTGTATAGTAGAGCCAAGATATACAAGCCCTCTAATATAATTGAATGATTATTAATTCCACTTTCACATAAATTGTTGAACAAGAAGTTAGCTTTTGCACCTGTTAAACTAATCATATCATCTTCTAAATTTATCCATATTTTAACTTTTCATTTATATTGATAACAATATTTTCAATCATAAATGTCATCTGTTAATAGTAAACTCCGAGGTCGCTTATTTTGATTATCTATTGTAAGCATATCCATGACCAAGACAAAATAATATGAGCGCTATTATTGTTGTGAACCTACTGATATCATGATTTGCTATAAGTTTTTTTTTTTAAATGTTTCACACATTCTCATATATTTACAATGATATCAGTTGATTTTTTCTTAGCATGTGTCTTAAACAAAGTCAATAGGCTCAACAGCACATTGAAACATTGGAAGTAGACAATCAAATTGTTAGAATTCAAAGAATTTGAGAAGGGTAAAAATATATTCTAATTATTATATAAATTTATCCCTATTTATAATCTATACAAGATGTCTTAATAAAGAAATAAATAACTTCTAATTGATACATAATTGCCTCAATATAATCCTTCCTAATTCAGCTACCCAAATATAGAAGGATATTGGCGTGATCCAAGTGAGCCTCCCACGGATACTCATCCTAACCGTGGGATCAAATGCCAAGGGATGACTGAGATTTTGACACTCCCCCTCAAGCTGGAGACCAGCTTGCAATTACTCGCTCAGAGGTAGAGCTGCACTGGTTATGGATAGGATATCAACCACCAGAGAAAGCCGGCAATGAAGGCCGATTGTGGAAACTAGTATTCCTCAACATTCTGGCAATGAAGGCCGATGATAGGAACATGTATTTTTTTTCATAATTCCGGCAATAAAAGCCGGGGAGAATGACTAATATTTCTCCAAATTCTGGCAATGAAGGCCACAACCACAAAACAGAGGGCATGAGCGGTTTGGACTTACTCGACTCTCGTTCAATGTCCTACGGCAATGAAGGCCGCTTGCACGAAATAGAGGGCATGAGCTGTTTGGACCGCACGACTCCAACGACAATGAAGGCCGCTTTCTCCTCTCTGCTTTCTTTGATTCGTATATCCCAGGCGATTCCGACAATGAAGGCCGGTAAAAGAATCAATATTCTTCAAAGGTTCAATAATTTTTGATAGTAAGGAAGACTATCTATTGGATTTTGGACAGTAATGAAGGCTTCCAAAATAAGATCCCTTTGATCTTAAGTTACGACAATAAAGGCCGATTTTATATCAGTAATGAAGGCTGGTTTTTGTTTTTACTTATTAAGGCTTTCTCGGTTTATTAAACCGAACCGGTCCAGCCTTGATTTTAAGGCTCGGATCGGGGCAAGCTAGGCACGGGCAAGGTTCCGTCCCTTTAGTCACAAGAGCAAGTCCATGTGAGTGAGCCTCCAGACGAAGCTTCCGATTTCGATTGATTCCTCCAGACGAGGTTTCTGTATGTGCGAATCTTGCGTGCGAGCCTTCAGAATGGCAGAAGGCGGTGTCTGTCTCCCAAGTCACATGCAGGCGTGCCGATCATGAGCTTGGTCCTGCGAGTCGCGGTGGCTTCCTCCAACGAGTCGGATAGGTGGCTTCGTCCAGCGAGTCACAGGTGTCTGGCGATCGGATCGGGCTTTCGATCGGCTTCGTCTTCCGCACGGACGGTTCTAAACGGGTACGACACTTCTGCTCCTTCCGTCCTTCGTCTCCTTCGTGGATGTTCGTCAAGGCTCCTTCGACGATAGTTCTGACGGAGTCGAGGCTTCCGTCTGCGGTAGCAATTGGCAGAATCGACACTTCCGTCTGGCAGAACCGGCGGCCTCTTACAGCGTCAGATGATTGGATCGTTCGGCAATGAAGGCCTCTCGATCAGCTCTGATACCATGTTAGAATTCATAGAATTTGAGAAGGGTAAAAATACCTTCTAATTATTATATAAAATTATCCCTATTTATAATCTATACAAGAGGTCTTAATAAAGAAATAAATAACTTCTAATTGATACATAATTGCCTCAATATAATCCTTCCTAATTCAGTTACCCAACTATAGAAGGATATTGGCGTGATCCAAGTGAGCCTCCCACGGATTCTCATCCTGACCGTGGGATCAAATGCCAAGGGATGACTGAGATTTTGACACAAACTTACATGGCAGATGCATAAGTAGGATGAGAATGCTTCAAAGTTCAAACTCTATGTTATTATGTCAAAACATGTAATAGATCTTTGAACCTATTCAAGGAATTTATATATGGAGTTCTCAATTCCCTTTCTGCATTCTATGTCATGCCTGATGAATGAACCTTATTTTCTCTATACACAATGGCATATAAAATTTGTTAAAAAAAACATAGCATACCAGAGGCTTTTGTTACTAATGTTTAACAACATAAAAGTAGGAGCTGGTGTCAACACACAAATATGTTCTCTCTCCTTATTGAATTTTTGCTTCTCTTTTCTTTTTCCTCATGGATCAACAAAAACATAACAAATAGGATTCAAGAAAGTTAGAGATAATATCATTACATACTCTCTGAAACATTATGGTTATGATAATGCAAGAATTACATTGGAGGTATGCGACCAAGTAGTGTAGACCCCATTATCTGTTCTCTAGCCAAGCAAGCAGCAATCTTTATGGCATTCTGAACACCTGATCTACAAAAAGAGTTTAGTCAGTAATTTAAAAAAAAATCTTCTTACCATTGTACAAAATATGACAATGACACTAGACTGTATCAAATAATCTTCATCATTAGTTAAATCATTGAAAACACTTCCAATTTGTTAAGAGGTACCTGGAACAGCTCCTACAGCACCATAGACTCCAGAATAACCATCCATGATACTGGCATCACATTCTACATGACCAAGCTCTGTCAGGTTTGAGCCTCGACCTGCATTTGTGATTGGATCATCCTATAGCAAAGAAACGACATTTTCAACAATTACTATAATATTAGCAGCAGTAACATCTATATAAATATAGCAAGAAAATGCTTATAAAAAGAGGAATTTAGCAAGCAATTATGTAAGTTCGAAGATACATTGATTTTTGAATAACAATATAAAATTTTGATGGAGGTGCATGTTTGCAGATCACGAAGCAGTAATGTGCATTGTATTAGCTTAAACTTATCACACATCTTGATTAGAGAAAGGTCAATTAGGTCAACTTACCTAGAGAACACTAAAAAGACTCCCAGCGCACTTGCACATGATACAAATAATCCATTTCTAATGGCCCAAATTTAATAGGATATACTCCATCCATTTTCGGTGAAAGATACGTAGAAGCTATCAAATACATGCAAAATGGATAATTGGCTACGATTCAAGGTAGTTGTGGAATGATTAAAAAGCTCTAAATTGCAAAAATACTAAACCAATTATCCACATTAAGTCTACATCATTTGTATTGGTTTTGAAGATGCCTCACATTCAGAATGAGGAAATTATTAGCATACGGGCATACGCTACTCAAAAGTAACGAATCTAACATAAGAGACAATGGCTAAAATGAGTGAAAGATTAGCATAATGGAGAAATTAATTAGAAGAAAATAGTTTTGAGGATTAGTAGTGCAAACATAGTATATAATATATATTTTTTGGTGGATATAAATTTCATAATTTTCAATCAATATTATTAAAAAATCAAGTATCTTTGACTATGATTACTATAAGCATCATGGATCTATTAATTATATAAAAGAATAAGAAAATAGGTGGAGATGTAACTTTTATGGTTAAAGCTTAGTTAAAATAGAAAAATGACCCAAGAGTTCTACCAGTTAAGAACGTACAATGGATTTGAACGTTTATCTTAAAATTAAACTAACAAAACTACAAGTAGACTAATTATGCTATATGAATATGAGAGTTAGGTAATTAAAATGACACATATAGCAAAATTGAGTGGAAATATGAATGCTATGATAATTGGGTGCAAAAATCATGAAGAACAAAATAGCAAAAGATTAAATAAGAGAGAAAGTCAAAGTATACATCAACAAGTAATAAGGCAGTTCAAAGTTAATTTAGGTGTTTGAATATGAATAATGAAGCAAAGAATTGACAACAATAAGATGGGCTGTAAAATGTAGTAGAGTTAGAAAGAGAATGGGGTTACAACAAGTATAACATGCTAGAAGTTGAGCAAATCAACTAGCCCAAAATAAAGTTAACACATCATGTAAAACTAACAAAAAAGAGTGGAGAAGAAAGAGTGATAACAATTGGCCTCAAATAAAGCTAATTATGATAACAACGATAAACCAACTTTCAAAATGCAAACTTTATGATATAATGTTTTTGTTGTGGCAATTTGGTCACCTGGAAAAGCAAGAAATATATTGTTTTTTGTAAAACCTAGTGCTAAAGCTTAAGGCAAAACCATTGTTAATTCTACATGATGTGGGTAAACTCTTTTAAGAGAATTTGGTTTTCCCATCACTTGGCGTTTAATATTGTATTGAGACAATCATATCACCATCTACAATGCCAGCAATCATATTTTTCCTAATCATACTACACATATTGAAGTGGATTGTCACTTCATTTGGATGATATTTTGATCAAAAAAGTATATTCCTCGCATTTTCAATTTTAAATAAGTTGTGAATATCTTTAGATAAACTCCGAATCACCTACCTTTCACTCATTTATGTAAAAAATTGAAACTAACAGATGCATATACGCTTCAGCTTGAGGAGATGTACTGGCATATTAGGTAGATAATTATATTGGAAGATATTGGTATCATATTATGAGATAATTTTTTAAGTCATATTAATCGATATATCATTCTCCTTTATTTTTTTCCTCTTTCATTCTCCTTTAAACATATTCGATAAAGCTAAATAACATTTTCCCCTATTCAAAAGCTGCAAATGGCAAACTTTCACGCTAAGACCATATAAAAAATTTTGATAACTTGCCAAAAAGAATACAAAAAACAATCCCATACCTCCAGAACTTGAGTGGCAATTATTACAGCATCTAGACAACTGCCAGAACCCTGTATGTACAACAAAGCAATATCCTTCAGAATTAATCAAAACAAAACAAAAAAATCATAAAAATTTGTAGCTGCAAAAGATCAGAGGAGAGGTCATCAATATCATGGATATTAAGGTGTTATGGTAAAAACAAGATTTAACAAGTCAAAAAACTTTTTGCAATTAATTAAATAGTGTGCAAGGGACTTATATATAGCAAATGGTTTCTTATATGAGTGCCATGGGTGATTAAAAGCGTGCAATAATGTTATAGTTTCAAATTCTAAAACAGGCCTTGACATTCTGCCTTGAACTATAACCTTAAAAACTTTTCCATTCAACTTTTTGTAATATAACTACTTTAAGTTGCGTACATCATAAATAAATAAATAAACACAAGTATGAACAACTTTTCCACATACTTTGGCAAAGGAATTGAAAGGAGATAAACTAAATAGGAAGAATTATTTACGATACATTTAAAAACTTTAAAATCAAATCGAGATAAGTTTTCATTGAATAAATGATATTCAAACACTCTAGTTACCATAAAGTAATCACTATTTTCATTGTATAAGATAATTCTCACTATATTTATCATTCACACGTTATCAGTAATGTAAGAGGGCCACATCACATGTGCAATTCAACATCAATAACATCGTTAGATGACTGAAAACTACCACTAGCTTATTTCATTCTCATTGACTCTTGGGTATTGTACCTGAGTACACAAGGATATACCAATTTTTTTTTTTTTTTAATCAGAATGTTTTATGCATTCTTGACTCATCCTACTCATTGAAATATTTTCAATAATCCTTGAATTTTTTTTGTTCATCAGATAATTCTACCATATGGCAATCGCAATCAGACTTTCAACCCTGATATAAACAAATTACAGGTTAAAAATATTTTAGGAAAATCATATAGCAATCACAATCAAACTTTCAACCCTATTATAAACAAATTACAAATTAAAAATATTTTAGGAAAACAGTCAGTCAAAGAGCAGTTCATATGGTCAAAAACAGTTGTTCCTTGGTCCAAGCACATAATATGGTGAGCATGTGAACCAAAATTATCTGAAAGCTATTGCTCGTGAATGGTTTGTTCAATCCATGTTGTACTTGCTAAGGCACAACTAAATTCATATTGAACCTGAATGACTGAATGCAACTGGTTTCCACGGGCTCCTGCAAACCTATAATGTTGAAAGGCTTTATAGTCTTCTAGGTGATGGCGGCAGTTACTGTTAACTAAAAGCATTGCATTTGATGCTTATATTGCTACTAAAATAAATCCTTGGTTTAGGCAAATCATTTTTTTTAAGAACTTGGTTCACCTTCATAGATTCTTCTTTAACGAGCTCATTGCAAGTCTGATATAAGCTAAAGGGTACAGTTCCAAAAATACATTGAAACCTATTATGAGCCTACTTTATTAAACCTAGAGTAAAAGCCGAAATTACTTTCATTGGAAATTCTAATTTTTCAGTAATAACTGAGGAAGGCAAATTCCCTAATTTTGCCCAACAATGCACACCTATCCTCGTCTACAAATGGCACCCAACATAGGCAATCATTTTTCACTTCTAACCACTCTGTCCTCGCACTAACAAAAGGACCCTTTCTTTTCTAAGAAACTCCTACATCTGCTCTTAGATTCACTGTGAAACCTTCATTAAAGTGCTTTAAAGGACCAAAAGTTAACTTTCTTGTAAGTATGGTAAGATTCTTTGTGTCGATTGCAAGTTATCAACTGCTTAAAGTTCTTTCCACTCTGCTTCATTAAATAAAGTTTTAAACTTGATCTTAGTGTGTGCATTGAGAGACGCTTGTTTTCTTTTTCTGTTATATGAGTTGCATCTTTAGAACTCAGATTTTTTATATCTTCGAATCTTCTGTAATTAACTGTAGCATTTGTTTACGATAAGAAATATAGCTTTTTCTGATTCAAATTCTCCGTGTTTTAAATTATCAGGATGAGCTGTCTAACAGCCTAGACTATGAAGTAAAAGTCAAGATAGAGGGCGATAGAAAACAAAGGAGCGTGAGTTTTAGATACAAAGCTATGTCTAAAAGCAAACAAATTTGAGGATGTTGACATCAGTGAAGTACCTTCCGAAGAACAGAAGCAGCGGATAGGCAGGCTTTCTTCATTGCTCTTCTGAAAGATTTCTCATTGGATGGAGAGTGAAAGCCAGCGCCAACGTGAACAGCGACGAAAAACCTAGGGTTTTCTCCGCCCATTCCCTCCATGGCTCCGACGCCCGAATTCGCGAGAACGTATAATTCGGGAAAAAAAATATATATATGTACGAAAATTAAAACATTACGGAGCAGTTTGGCAACTTCAGTCGGATTTAGGATTGATTTTGGGCAGTTTTTTATTATTTTTAAATAATATTCTAGAAAAGAGAAAATTAATTTTTAAAAAAATTACTGGAATACTACTTTAAAAATAGTTAAAAAATCGTTCCGAGCAAATTCTTAGTAATTCGAATTCAAATTTAATAAATTTTGAGGTTGTTAAATTCTTAAAATTATTTGGCATGATATATATTAAATTCTAGAAATTGTTTGGCAACTTAATCAAGTATTTAAGATAGTTGGTTCATTTGACAATTAAATTTAATATGTTTTGAATTTAATTTATGTGTTAATTGTGAATTATTTATGAATAACATACTTGGAAGCTTGTTTAATTAGTCAATAAATTAATTAATAATTTAATTACTAATTGTAATATTAATTATCTAATTGCTTAGATATTATTTTAATAAATATCTAAATGCTATTTATAAGAATAATTCTTTAATTATAATTTGAAAAAACTAATCATTTAATTACTATTTACAGTACTAATTATTTTTTAAATTATAAATTTTAATAACATTTCAATTACTAATTATACTTATAGTTATCTAATTAATTAATCTAACACTAATTAAGTAGTTACTTAATATTTATACTACTAATGACCTAATTAATTATTTCTTTCTTAAATCATAGTAATTAAACTAATGAAATCATCATCTAATTAAAAAATTAAGAACTAATCTTATAAGTGTGTAGGTTTTTCCTCTTTTCTTTATCATTGCTTTTGGAATGAGGTAGAGCTTTTTTGTGCAGCTTAGTTGGTTTGCATGAGGTAGAGCTTAGAATTAGTCGCTTGCAATTGCCTATCTAAAGTTTGTTTTTCCTCTTTTTGCATACTTCATTGTTGTTTTGCTTCACGTGAAGTTGAGTTTTGCAAGTATCAAAGGTTCTCTGCCTCGTTCAAAGATGTTTTTCCTGTCGGAACAGAAGTGACAACAGGAGTTTGTCGCAACGATAATAATATTTTCTCCTCTTTCGCGAGATTCTTCTACTTTAATTCGTAAAATCATGTGATATATAAATTCGTAAATCCGTCGATTGACAAGGTTTAGTAAATCCAGGATTTACTAGGAATTTGGATTTACTGCACTCTCGAAAACTATTTAGCAGGATTTATCGTAAATCAGACATAAATTCTGCTACAAATATGATACCAAAATACCCCTGCATATTGTCAACTTTAATCGGCCATGTGAGGGATAATGTAATAGCTAGTATTTTGATCCATACAAATATTTTTTTAATGAGTCGTTACAAGACAATCTTGAAAACCGTTTTGGTCATAAGAGATATACGATTGTGTTTTAATTATGATAAATTTTTCGCAATTTTTTGACAAATGCAAATCCTTAAGAAATTGTCACATATTGATACAAGTGGGGATTTTGTTAAAAAAAAAAAATTATGAATTTCATATTAAAAATTTTGATTAAACTATATAATTAAATAATTTTATATTTTTTTAAACAAAATATCCTAAGTCACTATCATTAAAACCTTTTGAAATCATTTTCTCTTCTTTAATTGGCTAATAAAGATCTATTAGAGGAAATTGAATAAAAATGTGAGGAGAGAGAAAAAGAAAATCTGAATTCGGAGGTTGCAAATATATTTTTGTTGGTCGAGCCTGTTGAAAAAATTATTCATCTCAATGTAAGAAATCATTGCCCTATTTCCAATTTTAATAATTTTATGTTTTAGATATTTTTCTAAATAAATTTGTATTTCTGTTACCGAAAATTGAGGATAATTTTGCATTTGTAAAATTTTCACAGCATAATTTTTTATATGTGATAGATGTCGTTAATATGAATATTTCGATAGAAATATATTAATTTTTTACTGATTAAATTGGAAGTTATGATTTTTAAAAGTAAATGTATAGTTGACAAAATTTATAGATTTCATTCTATTTATATATTTATGCATTTCATGTATGATATTGACTTACATTGCATAGAAAAAATATAACATTTGCATGTAAGTAAAGAAGACTGATTGTTAACACTATAATGAATATGAATTGACTATTAAAATATAATACCCTATGTGGGAGGGTGGGCAGACGAACTTTTTTTTAAATAAAAGGTTGGTGGTGTAATCTCAATTTTAATATATAATTTATTGACTGAATTATGCGAACGGATAGAAGATGACGATTCTTAAATGATTACTGAAAGTTGCATGTAAAAATAAATTATTATATAAATAAGTATATGTATTTATAGATTGATGGCAATGACAAATAACAAATATAAGAAAATATTACATTAAAGTTGCACGTCATGTCTTATTTTTAATAATTATCTCACGATGATATATTACTTGATAATACATTAAATTGATTTATAAATTGATAGCTCATACTGACATTAATATTGATATAATATAACATAACATAGCATAGCATACTAGCATGACTTATTTGATGACTTTATTAATCGTAATGATTTTATTTTATTTTTTTAAGATTTTTATTTCTTATATTAGTGGTGATTAATATTTATTGGAATTAATCATAATATTAATTATTTTACCTTGCATTGAAAGCTTTAACAATGTTTTGGTTAGTTGATAGGCTTTCTAACTCATTATATGTTATTTAAATGATTTCAAACCATGGGATGGGTTATAATATTTATTCTTTTTTTTTATGCATTGATAGTAGTTATAGAATTTTGGTTATACGCCAATTTTTTTAGCTCGTTATATATGATTTAAATGATTTCAGGTCAAGGAAGGGGTTGAGATCAGTTAGAGTGAGATTGTCGGAGATCCCCATATTTTTTTGATATTTTGTTATGCATTTTATTTTATTCTTTTGTAGTTAAGAGTTTGTGATAGAATAATGATTGTACAGATCCCCTAGCTATTGTATATTGATTTTGAGAATAGATTAGTGAAATATTTTGACATATATAATTGTTAGTTGTTTTCACTGTATATATATTTATTACCGTGATGATTTATAGAAGTTCTGGTTGTTCAATTAAGAAGATAAGGTAAATAATTCATCTAAAATTATTTCTGGGGCGTTACAAATAACCTCATAATTGGCCATATAAGGGATTGTTTGAAATTTGTAGGTTCTACCTAAATTTTAGCTTATATGTGCTAGTGGATTTATTTTAATTTATATTACATGTGTAATAATATAATTTGTTGGTCAAATATTTTCTTATTTATTTATTAGTGGCTTGTGCGATGAGGAGTTTCATGGGACCAACATATTGAGAATGTGAAGAGTTATTGAGGGATAGGTTTGTGAATAAACTTGAGTTTCATTTGAGGCAACTTTATTATTGATTTATAAATTAGTTTTTTTAATAAAAAAAAATAATTCAAACAAAATTTGTGTGTTTAAAAAACAATGAGAATGTTGTCTCAAATGAAGCTTAAGGCCTCATTTAAGATAGTTTTTTACCAATGTTTTTTTGCTACTTTTAAGATATTTTTGAACTAGAAAGCAATAAGAAAAATATCTTAAACAATACATTAGGCTTCGTTTGGAATAACTTTCTTATTGTTTTACTTTTTATACCACAACCATTTTTTCCATCGTTTTAATATATTTATGTGCTAGGAAACTACTTCTTACAACAACTTTTAAAAAATTATTTTCTCTACAACATATTTACAACCACCTTTGTAAAAAACTACAACCGTTCAAAATGGATCATAAGAGTTCACGAGTATTAAAAATAAAGGAGAAATATGAGAGAAACTTCAATAGAATTTCTCATATCAAACAATGAGTATATTTGTATATTTATAGGAGCAAAATAAGATCATTTAGCAGCCATGAAATTAAATAAGTGATTAAAGCATATAAAATTGGAATAATTAGAGCAAACTGATTATTGAGGTCGACAATTATTATGTGGTTGAAATATAAGAATCAATGACTTTGGTCCAAATATTTGCTATCTAAAGTCTAGTGAAAGTGTATTGCATTTGAATCTAAGAGGAATATTCATATACACCTCTTCTTCCATATCTCTATCTAAAAATGCCTTTAACATATAATTAGTTTAGATTAGAGAGAGAGAATGACTCGGACATAGTTAATCTTAGCAATTAGTGCAAAAGGTTCGTAATATTCTATGCTATAAGTTTAAGTAAATCCTTTTATAACCAACAAAGATTGCATCTTTAAAGTCCTATCGGCCTTATTTTTTATATCGGGGATTCGTTTTCATTCAATTGTTTCACTTCGTTCTCGTAAGATTATGAATTTTCTTGCGTAATTCTTTTCAACTATTTTCATTTTTTCGTAAGTAGCGTCTCTCAATTCAGATGTTTTTATTGGTTCATTGAAAATATTCACAATAAAAATGTTGATTGTAATAGCCATAAACTAAGAAGATATATATATATTCTTTTAAGAAATGCATTACTTGATGAATATTTTATATAAGATTTCGTTATTAGTGTAACTTTCCTATGAATAATTAAGATGTTAAGGTCAGAGTATTACCTTGTGAATAATGATCGAAGCTTGATTCAACTGAGTCATTTTGGTGTGGAGGAATACTTGATGCATTAATGTTATTCTTTTTGTGCTCCTGTGTTTTGTATAAACTATGTATTTATATCTTGAATGTTATGAAATTTTCAATGGGAACAATGTTTTGAACTTCACAGTGGTCTATAAGAGATGGATGTTGGAGATCAATAGAATGTAAGAAAACTCATATTTATAGAGTTAAAATCCTCCCTTTGAACATGAGCTTTGAAAAAACAAGTTTTTTCATAAAATTTTACACTCATTGAAGTATAAATTTTATTATTATATTTTAATATTCTTATTTATATCCTTGTTGGTTTGGACAATGGCCACTAAAGATGTACTTAGTGGCTTTTGTGTTGAATTTGTTGCATTTATGAGTTGATATATGGACAAATACATAACCTCAAACATTTTTAAGAGGGATGGTGGAGATAAGTATGTTTGTGGGGCATATTTTGAGAAGAACTTGGCAAGGGGTTTTAAATTTGAGGCTATTTGATGTCCTTCAATTAATGAGGTATGCAACAAATAGGAGAGCTTCTTCCATTATAAATCAAATATAAAGAAGAAAATCTACGCTGAATTCAATGATCCATCAAATCGTGGCACCAAATTGTGAGTAATCAAATATAACGAAGAAATAATGTGAACATCTTGATCCAATGGATTGTATGATAAGAAAGACATCACATGAAATCATGGGGTTGTGACATAGATGACTTTGAAAATTGTGGGAGACAAAGTTTCCAAAATGAGGAACTTTGAGCCATGCACAAGGAGCTCACAATACAAATAGCTACATATTAAAAATAAGAGAAAAGTATAAGAGAAACTTCAATCAAAATTCTTATACCAAACTACAAAAAATATTGCCTATTTATATGAGCAAAACAAAATGAACAACTAGTCTTAGAAAAAAAAAAATTAAAGCAGACAAAACATGAATAATGACAGTATACTGACCAATGAGCTGGACAATCATAATGTACTTGAAATATTAGAAATATCAAAATTTCATGTTTTAACCATTGAAGTGCTCCACATTGCCGGATATTTGATTGTCTGTAATGATCACACATAATCAAAAATTGAAGTTTTATTATAGTAGGTAAAGTAAACACATATATCATACTCTTTTAATATGGTCTTTTGTGCTATTATATTCTTTAACCTAGGCCTTGCTTTCTTTGTCTATTAGACTTTAGTAATTGGACGCCCCATTATAGTATGTATAAATAATAATGATCAAGTAGATGTTTCTATGCTAGGTTTAGTATTAGACATAGAAAATCAAATTACATGTATTGAGAAAATCAAAATGTAGGAAGTTTAAAAATATTGATATATGATTTAAAGCAAAAGGAGTGTAGGTAAAATTTTGAAGCATATGTAGCATATCATTTAGTTCTTTTTTTATGTATTCAAAGTCCACCTCATTTGGACGAGTTCCAAATACAACTCAAAGTAAAGATTTAGTTGCTAGATGCAACCCATTGCCGCTACCGTTTGTCGATTATTGCCCTTCATCATCACCATACCCGTTGTTGTCAATATGTCATCTGCAGTAAACTATTTGATATCACTGACCATTATATTTATTAGGCTTTATATTAAATTTATTTTATTTTAAACAAGAAAATAATGAGTTTTGTTCATTTTATACTTAAAAAATTCAAATATTTGAAATATATGACATTTTCTTACACTTTATTATATTATATTTTAATTTTTGAGAAAAATAAAAGATTCCTTAGTAGAGCGCATAACCTGTCCCGTTTTTTTTTTTTGGGCAATGACGAAATGCACAATTAAAAAAAAAAGGAAAATGTACAATTAAATTAAAATGAAAATGTACAATAAATATCGAGCTAACAACTTTAACACGATAATTTAAATATTACGCGAGCAAGCAACCGCGATGCAGAAAGGCTGTGAGCAATTCGTGTGTACAGACCATAGAGTGGCGTGAAAATGGCGGAGAGGAAGCGGGTTCTTGTCATCGGAGGAAGCGGTTATTTAGGGCAACACCTGCTGGACGGGCTCGCCAAAGCCGACAGCGAGACGCCTTTCGATTTGGCTTTCACTCACCACCGTCCGATCCCGCCGCCGGAGCTGATCGATGCCGTCTCCCCCGTTTATCCCTTCCGTGTCGACGTCCGTACTGGCGAGGGCTTCGAATCCATCTCCAACACATTTGGAGAGGTCTGCATTTTTGTTTTGATTGTTCCCTTTCTTCTTTTTGGTTCGGAGAAGTTAAGCGGGAAAGCCGAAGGAATGTTGTTTATCTCATAATTAGATCTTGGCTGTTTCATATGGTTGTAATTCATAACAAAGTGATTTCATGGAAATTGGAATAGATATGTATTTTTGTTTATGATTATTCTTAAAGCTAGTGAAAAGGTGAAGTAAAACGAAACCATAAATAACATTAACATTGTGCTTGTGCTTTAGCTTATTGATGGTTGCTTCTAACCAAATGAAAATTGCTTTTCACTTGTTTTCTCCCCAACCTAATAAGTGGTTTTAAACTAATTTCAATTCAATTCATTTACCAATTTCATTTTTATTTTCTTGTCATTGCAACTTCTTAAGTTTTGTGAAACCAAACAGTTCACGAAGGACAAAGTTTCGGGCCCAAATTACTGGATATATGTGTTAATTTTTTTATGTTTTTTGGGTGTTTAAGGAAGTTTGAGCGTCTGGTATTTTGTTCAGTAATTTATTAAGAATTTCTTCATCAACTAATACTTATCGTCCATCTTATTAGATAAACTTCTTGAAATATGTCAACTTATAAGCTTCCTTGTTGTTTTTAGGATTTTTTCCCCTTTGTGTTTAGTTTCTTGTGAGCATGTGATATTTATTTTTGTGCTTATCATTGTGTTCGCTAATTTGGTGACCATCATTTAAGCATTCTTAATTTCATAAAATAGATCATTTTGGGTTAAGAGTTTTCTTATGCATTCTCACTTTTATGAATGTTATGTAATATTTTTATCTGACCAGTGGGTTATCAGTATTATTGATTTTAGTTTTTGGCTAAGACTGCCCTTGCTTCATTTAACATGTTGGGTTAATTTGCAGTCCCTTATTTTTCAGTGATGGCATGGCCAACTTTAGCCTATTTCTTAGCCCAATCTGGTTAAATTGTTGTCAACAATTTGTGACTCTTCCTAAACATTTAAGGCCTGGCTTGTTACTCCCTGAAATGTTGTAGCACCACAAATGTCAAATTATTGATTTCATGAATTATGGCATAGATGATAGCTGTTAAGCTAACGTGGATTCTCAACTTTTACCAAAGTTGACTATGGAATGGTAATGGCGATTTGGGTAAACATTCATTAAGTTTTCTCTGAAACTGGTCCGTTAGGATGGGGGTGGGGGTGGGGGTGTTGTTTCAGTCAGTGCAAATCTATATTATAGGCAGTTATTATTTTATCTTATGCGTAATTTATCTTGATGTTTATGTAATTTTATGTATTTGAGCTTGCTTTCAGCCACACGTTGTTGTTAATTGTGCCGCACTCTCTGTTCCTCGTGCATGCGAAGTGGATCCTGTCACAACCATGGCTACTAATTTGCCCACCTCCCTTATTAATTGGTTATCAAGCTTCAAGGACAACAATATTCTGTTAATTCATCTTTCTACTGATCAAGGTAAACCTTATTGTTTATTCTTTATTTATAAATTATCAAACTTGCTTACATCAACCTCTTCACATTTTACCCTATTTTCCTCATTTTCCACCTTGCATGTTGCATGTGTCAGCCCAGCACATGAACTGCATTACGATGCTGTTGACAAATTAAATGTTATGTTGGTTAACTTCTAGTGGTTGGCATAATTTTTTTGGGACCTTTTTCAAGGACATTTATTTGTCTATTCTAAGCATGGTTGTAAAAATCGGAGCAAAGATAGCACCAAAAAAGAGAGAGGTTCAAAGTTTAATAAGTTGACCGGGATTGAACCGCAGTCAAAACGCGGTTGAGCTGGATAATATAATAAATATTAAAAATATTTAAATGATAACATAACAATGTAATAATTATGAAATAATATAATTTTAGGATTAAAAAATAAATAAAATTCATACGTAAATAACATATTATATAATTTTAAATTTAAATGAAAATATCCCCAATCATTAATTTTAATTTATATTTAATACAAATTTAGTTTATCTATAGATATATAAATTTAATATGAATAATTAAAAACTGATTATTATTAAAAATCAAATATATTAAATTAAATTATTATTTTATATTTAATTTATTAAATAAAATTATTTATTTATATAAAATAGTAAAATTGAACCGGTTCTTAAAAATTGGGGCTGTCGAAATCGGGACTAGTTCGACAGCCGCTTCGAACCGGTTTTATCTTGTTCCGATTTTATCTTGTTCGATGTGAAGACAATTTAAAAAAACTGGCTGGTCCAGTCAAGTTTTTAAAATAATGATTCTAAGATAAAACTAAGTTGTCTCTGCACAACATTGTTAGCAGATTGTTTTTATATTGCTTTCAAAGGCTAAAGTATAATCATACTTTTTTATAAAGTAAACTTGACATAAGTGATCTTAAATTTACTCAATTAGTGACATCTTTGAAATTGTTATAAGATTGTTGAGGTTGGAATCGGATTGTGGGCATGTAAGTACATAAGCAAATGGTTAAAACATCAATGCCTAAGCTAACATTGAAAGATTGGCCGCATAGAGAGGCCCATCAATCAATAGAAGCAAATCCAAATCAAAGTGCACAAATGATCTCTAGTTACATCAACAAGCCTAGTGATGTGTGCAACAGGAGATAAGCAGATTCTGATAACATGCAAACAGGCGGGTGAAGCCAAGGATGAGAATGGCTAGCTCCCATGAGGCAAAAGCCAATTGCAGTCAGAGATGTACATTTAATATTTAATTGAAGGTCATAAAACAAATATATACTCACCTCCATTTAATTTATGATTGATTTAGTTTCATACGATGGAATAGAAAGTCCAGTATTACTTGTCTTAGTTTAATATTGGGTGGGTATGTTTTGCTCTATGGATGTTATGTTTTTGCTAACTTTTGTATGCACTGGATAAGTTTTCTTGTACTTCTTTAATCTGGATACTTTTTTAGTAATAATGGCATTGCTTGTCAGTTTCTATAATTATTATAATATTTCTCCCTTTGTCCTACAATGCTGTTTTTATTAGGCGATGGATGGTAAGAAATATCTAATATGAATTACCGAATTACCAGTTTATGAAGGGTCGAAATCATTCTACAAAGAAGAAGATGAAACAGCTCCAGTGAACATGTATGGAAAATCTAAAGTGGCAGCCGAGGAGTTTATTTCAGAACATTGGTCTAACTTTGCCATTTTGCGTAGTAGTATAATCTATGGACCACAAACATTGTCTCCTGTCTCAAAGTCCCTCCCTATACAGGTGATAATAAGAAGTTCAAACATTACTTTTGTTTATTTGTTCTTTGAAGGACTCCCATCTATGGGGATTTTCTTCTTTGCTCACTGCATACTTTAGTATCTTACCCTAGTCTTTCATGTATGATCTGGTTGGCTTTTCATGGATGAGTTCTGTATTGCTCTTTGGTTTCTAAATCCTTCTCTTTGATCTGTCATGAGGCACAGTTTTGCTTGAGGAATTTTAAATCCACATAAATCTTAATTATCAGATGTTCTTTTTCATTGCTCAGAAATTTATGTCTATTTAGTGCAGTGGATCGACAGCATTCTTTCACGCAGTGAAGAAATAGAGTTCTTCCATGATGAGTTTCGGTGCCCAGTTTATGTCAAAGATGTCGTTAATGTTATATTAGCATTGACCAAAAAGTGGATTTCAGGTATGTCTCCACACACTTGAGCTAATAGGCGTTAAATCCTTGAATAAAAAGGTCAATCTCAATAAAAAATAAATACATGCACCAACCTGACAAGCTGCTGCCCTAGAGGCAAGATTTACATCTTTGGCGCTGAGATAGTTTACAACTACTTTTGGTTCACATCTTCTATCATTTCTATTTCCAGTATCCTCTCAACTGATTTTCTTAACAATGGGATTTGGAAGAAATTGTATCAGGATATTCTTGTACATTTTCCATCATTTTGGATTAGAATAACAGGGAAAAATAATAAAATATTGAAGGTAAAGGTTAGAAGTAGAAAATATTTAAATAAAAAAAGAAAACAATTGATGAGGACATCGATCCAATGTTCAAACAGGTGTATTGCCGGAAGCATCGCAGATCGACGGCCACGATTCAGAGCTTATATTTTTAGTTATTATGCATTTTATTTTATGTATTCCTTTTGTACCCTTATGTTGAGTTGAGTCATGTTGGGGCCCTGAGGGCAATTAATATTTTGTCGTCTTAAAAAATTCAAAATTGTAATATCTCATAGTTGTAAGTCTTGGTTTTATGCATATTTTTATTCCATGGGATAGCAGGACGTTGCATCCCTGCTTTGTCACCATGAGAATTATGCCTTTATGCACAGGACTGAAACTGAATATATATATATATATATATAAGTGTGGATTCCAAGCACCCCCATTCATGGGATATGGAGTAATTAGGACATGGTATATTGGATTTCATCACTTGGATTTTTCAATAATCATTGATAAAAATAATTTCTTAGGCGGTTTCCCTCTTATGATTCTATTTATTTGTTTCTCTCTTTTGTCTATCCTATTTCCTTCCATTTACATATATCCCTTAAAGATGAACTTGAATGGAGGCAAAGGGATTGCGGGAAGGATGAACTTGAAAGGTGGCAAAGGGTTGGGGAAAGGATATTATATTGTATAAAGAGGGACCTGAAAGTTTTGATTTAGATTTAAAGAGGCTGTGATTTGGAGTGTCAATTATGAAGTGCCAACAACAGTATGTTATGCTAGTGATTCCATCTTTCCCATATATTTTGGAAAGGAGCGAGTTAGACCAGATTTTAACATTAGAATGCCTCAATCTTGAAAAATAATGACAAATTTTTCCCTTTGAAGACCAATAACAAGCTATAGTAATTCAGAACTCTCTTAGACATATCTAGAAGAGAAAATGATCCCTCAATTCTTTGTGAGGGATCAAAATAGTCCCCAATTCTTTTGAGAGATCAATTTGGTCCCTCAACTCCTTAAAAAGTAGAATGCCTCAATCTTGAAAAATAATGACAAATTTTTCCCTTTGAAGACCAATAACAAGCTATAGTCATTCAGAACTCTCTTAGACATATCTAGAAGAGAAAATCATCCCTCAATTCTTTGTGAGGGATCAAAATAGTCCCCAATTCTTTTGAGAGATCAATTTGGTCCCTCAACTCCTTAAAAAGATGTATTTTTTATCATAATATCAAATTTTAGGGTTAATAGTGTTAAATCATAGGGTATTTTGGTCATATTTTAATTAAAATTTTTATTAAATAAAATTTTCAAGTAATAGTATTTATAAAAAAAAATATTAATGATGAGGAGTTGAGGACATCGTCAGAGATTTCGACACATGTACCATTAGGAGACGCCGGAGATCGACGACCATGATCATGAGTTTTATTTTGAGTCATTTTATGTAGTAGTTTATTTGATTTTTATGTTTTTCCGTTTTTGCCCTTATGGGTAGTTAGTTGCTAATGTAGCCCAAGGGGCATTTTAGTCTTTTATTTTTTTGTCATTTGGAGGCCTACATATATGGTCATTTTCCTATGTATGATTAGTTCTTTTGAAAATAAAATTTTAGAGTTCATGTTCTTCTTTGTGAGTTGCACCTCCACGATCTATTAGTGAGTTTCGTAGGAGAAGCTAGAGGCTCTTTGTGAGTTATAGGTTCTTTCTTGTTCTACTATTCTCTTTCATTTCTCTTGATCTCATGTCGTAGTGCGTTTGGATTGGAGCCTCTTGTGGGAAAGTTTGACATTCTCAATCTTGATCCTAAAATTTTCCCCCAATCTCCCCTCCCTGGCCCTGCCGCCACTACTCCACGCAGTCGCAGCCGCCGGCCACCTGTGGCCCCCATTGCCGCCAGTCCCCAAACGCAGCCGCCGTCGGCCAGCCGCCGCCCAGCATCCCGGCCAGCATCCGGCCAGCCACCGAGCCAGATTCCGCGCGGCCAGCCAGCAGCCCCAACCCTTCTCTGTTTTCAGAATTTGAAATTCCATGTCAAGGCTTAATTTCCTTTCCTATTCTATCATCTCCTCATAGTAAGGCAAATTTGGGCCTGTTTAATTCACAGAAAGTTTTTCCACGGGATTAGCAGCAAAGCTATTTAGGGCATCCTTTCCTTGTATAAGTAAACGCTGATAATCAAGTATCAGATTTAACTAATTCCCGTGAATGCCTCATGAGAAGCCAGCAATTAATCCCGATTGCTCCATCCTTTCTCCTTAATCCCCCATTTAATCACCACTTAAAAGCCCCTCTTAATTTCCCCTCCTCTCTTGCTCTAATTTCAAATTCAAATCTGAAATTGGGAAATTTAAAATTGCAGCCATAATTTAGAATCTGAATAAAATTCAGAAATTTTTTGTTTTCTCTCCACCATAGCCTAACCAACCCCCTCCGTTTTCCCGCCCACCCGAGCCCTCTTTCCTCTTGGTCTCTCCCCTTGCCCTCTCATCTACAAGCAAAAGAGATGTATGGCGGATTCCGGAAGTTTGCAATGGGCTTGTGTTCGATCGCCCATTGACAATCTTGACGTCATAACAATCGCATTCTTTGGACGCGGGCATTTGACTTCTGACCGACGACACCCGTTGGAGCCTACTTGGCCGGATCCTCACGACTCTCATACACGTCATCGACAAACCAACGTCCAGACTCCGAGGGGATATTGGCGGCCGCGACCACTCTCCAAATTCCCGGCTTCTTCGCCCGGCGACGAGAGTCCTCGGGATCACTGTCTACTAGTGCCTCACTAAGTTACTGCTACGATCCTCCTCCGCTAGCCACCACTTTTCAAACGATGGGAAGGCTTCAAGGTGAATGATTTTAAAATTTTAAGCGTGTGCGCTTTAGTGAAAGTTATTTGCATTATTTAGTTATCTTTTGAGTTATATTTTTTGCACAGACTTTTGTACTCTCAAGGTAGGTCAATGCCTAACACACCCGCTTAATCTATCACGAATTTTTCCTTGAATCCTAATTGAGTAAGCTAAATTTTATTGTTAATGTTGAAAGTTAAAACTTTCAACACTAATCTCTCAAGTGCAATTCATGTTTTCACCGCTTGTTGTTTCACAATCAATAAACATTTCTTTACATGTAAACGTAGTCATTCTGTCCTTTTGGCATGTGGTGCATTGCTGTTTTTATGGTTGGCATATCCCTGCGTCCGAATGGGAAATTGGTTTTACTGTAGTAGGGTAATCGTTCGATATCGTTTTTCTACAAAATGAATGCTTGTATCTATAGGTTTCTCATGATTAATGGTTCAAACTATTCATGACAGCTTATAAATCTATGTAATGACTGGCAAAGTTGAATAACTGTAGTCGTCAGTACGGTTCCTTTAGAATAAAACTAACTGGTTTTTTGTGATTAATTTTTATGTTTTCCGGCTTTCATTTATTGCGATTTCATATTCTCTTCTAACCGATGGAAATCAATAATTAATTTCTGAATGTTGGCGGACCTGATCAGATTGTCCAGCGGCACAAATGGCTGTGGCGGTGCTGACTATCGAGGCTATGAATCTTCATTGATCAAATTGGTATTGCAGCATCTGTAAGTATTAAATCTCTCTCAAACACATGTGGGACTCCTCATATTTGATTTAATGTTTGCCCGCTTAAAAATTCAACCGAGGTCGACATTATGTCAAAAAAATCAAATGTTAACCACGTACATGTTGATTTTTCTTTATGTTTTAATATGTTGTCTGGGATATTAAAATTTTGAATGAGGAAAACTTACTATATCCTATTTAGTGCATGAAGCTTTCCTTTTGAAGAGTCAACCTGTCTCAATGCAATCGATGTATTGCATGACTTGCGGGGTATTATTCTTCATGTTTTTTTGGTGTAAAATTGAATCAAAAGTAATGATTATTGTTTGAAATGGTTAAACATTTCATTATGAAGTTGAGTCGATGAACTCAAATGTAACTAATCTAAAACGATGAAACTGTTAGGTCTTGTCGGATAATGTTGTCCCGCATGAATAGGATTCTTGGTAATCCTGATTTTATGTACGCAAACTCACCATTCACAATGTTGACGAAGAGATTTGGAGAAGAAAAACCTTACTTTTATGCACAAGTATATCTCTATTCTAATAGTTCAATTCATAATATATAATAAATAAATAAATAATTACATTAATCTCATTATTTTCTCTTAATATAATCCTTCCTAACATTAGCTACTAACTTGGAAAGAGATTTATGTGCATCTCGGAAGAGAACTCATGATCTTAGGTAAGCCTTCCATGGATCCCCATCCTAGTCAGGATCAATCTGGTAAAGGACGCTGAGATTTAACACTGCCCCCTCAAGCTGGGGAATACAGTTGGCCATTCCTACCTTGTTATTGTCAAAAAAGGCAGAGTTATCAAGTTCTTGGTAAAATATTTGCAAGCTAATCTTTTGATGACCATTGTCTAATTTTGCCTTTATAAAAAAGTTTATCAATTCTATATGCTTGGTCCTTCACGGCTGAGCTTGATTGGTGAGCTATTATGATTGTTAATTTGTTGTCACATTTTGTACGCTTCATGGGTCATTCCCTTGATGCCATGGTCTTCTAGAATCATCTGAATGCCATCAATAGCTAGAGGCATATCTCAAGGACATGACTATGTATTTGCCTTCTTCACTAGATTCTTGTCACCACCTATGTTCTTCTTATTTATGTAACTAGGATTCCCACGGAATAAGCAATATTCTTGAGGTAGATGCTATTATGGTGAATCCTGTGTAATCTCATCAATATAATGTTTTTTGTGGTTATTTCACAGTTTCTCTAAAGAGAATCACTTTTCTCTAGTTCTCCTTAAAGGTAGTGTATGTATTTCGTCCACAACTTACATATTGAGTTTTTGTTTTTGAATTGTGCATGGAATTGGCTAACATGTTTACAATAAATAATTATACTATGGTCTGAGTGTAGGAAAAGGTAGATCAATTTAACCCTAAGTCTTAGGTAATCTCCCTATCTACATCT